CCTCTCCCCCTTTCCCTCTGGCTCTTTCTTTCTCTTCCTGAGCAGGATCCGGCCCCAACTATCCAAGGAGAAGATTGAGGGCTGTCACATCTGTACCTCAGTCACTCCTGGAGAGCCCCAGGTGCTGCTGGGGAAGGACAAGGCCTTTACCTATGACTTTGTCTTTGACCTGGATACCTGGCAAGAGCAAATCTACACAGCTTGTGTGGGCAAGCTCATCGAGGGCTGCTTTGAGGGCTACAATGCCACAGTGCTGGCCTATGGACAGGTAAGGGCTCCCTCCCTGCCCAAGTCAGCTCCTAGTTAGATGAGAGACACATAAGACAATGAATCTTGTTAACAAGTGCCAGTTAACAAAGTTATACAGGGTTATGCAGTATCGAAGGATGCCAGAGTGAAAGGAATTCTCTGGAGGGTGTGAAGTCAATTGAAAAAATCTTTCTGAGAGAGATGAAGGTCTTAAAGGATAGAGGAGCCATGGTGAACAGAGAAGAAGGGGCTGTGTGATAGTTGAGTCTGGGAAGGTATCTGAAATTCTGTCCTTGGGGCCCACTAGCTCCGGCTCCTCCTCGAAACTCCCTGTCTTGTTCCATCTCTCCCTCCACAGACAGGAGCTGGGAAGACATACACCATGGGGACCGGCTTTGACATGAGTACTTCAGAGGAGGAGCATGGTATTATCCCGAGGGCCATAAGCCACCTCTTCAGAGGCATTGATGAACGCAAGAGACAGGCCCAGGAACAGGGAGTTCCTGGGCCAGAGTTCAAAGTCAGCGCACAGTTTCTGGAGGTATGGCCAGAGAGATGAGGAGAGATCACAGGGGGAGATGCAGAGCTGGGTAGGGTCTGGCTCCCTTGTTTTGGGAGGTGTTGTGCTCCAGTGGAAGGAACACGGGGTTTGGAGTCAAAGAACCTTGGTTCAAATCCTAATAATTCTATGTACACCCCGGGGGACTTTGGGCAAATCACTTGATGTCTCAGCCCCTCATTTATAAGATGGGGGTGAAGGGGAAGTGGGCCAAAATGGCCGGTAAATTCTAGCTCTAAATCTGTGATCCTATCACCCTCCAGAGGACTGATAGGCCATGTTCTCTGGGGCCTGCATGTTCTCTGGGATGTGGTATAGAGGAGAAGGGGAAGGGAAAGAGAGTGCCCCAAGGCCTGAGCCTGGATACCTGCCTGGCTTTCTGAGTGTGGGCCTAGCGTGCTCTGGCAAGGTGTCCTGCCACGTCTTTTGGAGCTCGAGGATGGCCAACGCCTGAGTTTAATGGCTTGTGAAATGTACTTGGATGGCGCTACAGTTCTTGTTGGGAGAGGGAAGGTTGATTCTCCTAGCTAGGCCTGAGGGAGGAGTGGGGATGGGGTTGCTGGACACAGGCCAGTGTGCAGGCTTGTTGCCTGGAGTCATTGACCCTGAGGAGCACTTTGCCTGGGCTTGGGATGAGCCCAGGAGGGCAGAAAGATGCTTTGGATCCAACATCCTCATCTTCTGTTCCCTCTGGGCCACAAACTTCCCATGGATGAGGGAACTAAAGCTAGTACTAGTCTGGGTCAGAACTGCCAGCCCAGGGGCTTTGCTTTTCAGACCAGGAAGCCAAATCCTGGCAAATCTTAGACTGAGGAGTTGGAGGTTATGAGTTCAAGTCCTGACTCTCCCATGACACCTCTTTTTTTCTCCACTGAGCTTCCATTTGGGGTCTTTGAAGATACGTAGTGTTTAAGAAATAGGGGAATAGTGAAAATGAGGAATTTGAATCACAGCCCAGATCTCCCAGGAGTCAAAAAACAGATTATGTGACTTCAGCAAGTGAAAACCAACATCTCATCCTCTTTACAGAAGAGGGCAAGTCATTTAACCTCTCCAAGCCTGTTTTCCTCATCTGTAAAATGGGCGACAACAACACCTATACTACCTACCTCATGGGGCTGTTGTGAGGAAAGCACAAAGCGATATTGAAACGTACTTCCCTACTTATCACAGGAAGAATGCAGTCAGCTCAGAGTTGCTGAAGGCCTGGGCTCCCCTTATATTGTCCCTTAGCTTTTTGGCCACTTGCTTATTCTGCCTCAATTTCCCTAGATCTGACTTCTGTTGTCCCTTAGCTTTTTGCCACTTGGTTATTCTGCCTCGATTTCCCTAGATCTGACTTCTATTGTCCCTTAGTTTTTTGGCCATTTGGTTATTTTGCCTCAGTTTCCCTAGATCTGACTTATCTTGTCCCTTCACTTTTTGGCCACTTGCTTATTCTTCCTTCCTAGATCTAACATGGGAAATTTCCCAATTTTCTAGAACCAGGCTTCTTTAATTGCCTAGCAGCAGGTGCCCTTCCTGACCTTTTCCTGCCTAGATATTTTATTCTCTGTCCACCTCATCCTGGCCTGAAGAAGGCAGATTATTCTGGACAGGAAGCAATCCATCAGTTTCCGATTGGAGATGGAATGTATGTATGGCACTGTTGAATAAATTCCCACAAGAAACCTTAGGACCCCCTGTAGTCCTTCCCAATCAGAAAGAGGGGATACCCTGGAGGGGCCTAGAAGGGTAGATCTAGGCTCATTTGCTGTTTTTACATAGATCGGTGTGGCCTTAGGCTAGTCACTGAAACTTCTCTGGTCTCAGTTTCCTTATCTGTAAAAGTCCCGGAGGGAATTGGCTTACATCAGCCAGGTCAAATTCAACTAGAAACCGGGACCAGTAAACCATAGACAAGAATCTCAGTGGGCCACACATTAACTTAGAAATGTCAATATTTCCATGTCCCTATTATATTTTTATTTCTTTTGTTAAATATTTCCCTGCTACATTTTAGTCTGGTTCTGGCCTCCCTGGGGAGGGATGGTGCTGGGGCCCTGTAGTTGACATCTCTGGTTTAGATGATTGCCGGGGTCTCTTTGGTCTCTGAGCCTGTGCTTTGCCCTGAATGAGAGAGAAGGGCTTAGGAAGCCCCCTTCTGCCTCTTCCCCCAACAGTGACCTTCTAGAAAGCTCCACCTACAGGCATGGCTCCCCTCCTTCCCTCCCCACCAGAGACAGGGCTTGAACCCTGTAAACCCTCCCTCCAGCTCTGGCTCTGCTTGCATTTCATTCTGAGAGAGGAACAGAAAGCTAGGGAAACCAGAGCAGGAAAACAACCCTGCCGCCTTTGGTCCTTCTCCCCGGGGGGCTGCTGGGTAATTGCTCCCTCCTGGGTCTGCTCCTGTCTCCTAGGTTGTCCTTAGACAAGAGTGTGGCTGCTTTGCCCTTCAGGGACCCTGGGCTCCTTTTCAGATTCAATGTATTTGTCTTTTGTTTCTCCTCTCTTTGCTTTTCCTTCTCCAGCCCCGTTGCCAGGGAAATGTCCAGAGGGAGGGGAACCAGCAGCCGCATGGGAAGGCTGTGCCAAGGACGGAGCCACTAGTCAGGATGCTGCCCTTGGGGTGGAAAGGGTTACATGAGTCCAGTCTGTTTATAGGACAGACAGACCTGGGAGGATGGGGGCATTAATGGCACCCAAATCCCAGTCAGTCCTTTCCTGTTCCTCTTCCCTTTCCTGCCTTGATATTTCCGTCCCTTTGAGGAGCATCAAAGCCTCGGATGTCCAGGCTATCAGAGTTTCCAGAGGCAGGAACCCAGTGGCTGCAGCCCTCAGCTGTCTCCTTCCTCATTCTCCCTCTCCTCTAGGGCTCACCTGTCTGCCTTCTGGGCTCCTGGCTCCCAGATCCTCACTGGGGAATGTCCCTGCCCCTTAGCAGGTGGCACTTTCTCTGGTGGTGAATATAAAAAAACTTACCCTGAGATTTGGGGAATCTTCCAAGCTGAGCTGAACTCCCCTAAAAAGCAGGACAATGTAGGGTCCCCACAAAGAAGCAGACGCATACCCAGGAGGTCAAGCCAGTGGTCATCTGTTCTGCCTGTTACCACACAAAGTAAACCCTGATTTCTCCTAGCTCTAATTTCCACTCCTATCCTCCAGTTGGGTCCATATGAACAAGGAGAGAACATGTCCAAATGTGCTCAGAGCGTGTCTGAACTTTTACCCCGGAGATTGAAGGGATGGGTAGCAGTGAATGCTAAATTTTTTAAAAATAAAATTGTATTGATATCTTTTGTTTTTATATCAACTCTATTACTAAGTGTTTCCCTCCTCTCTTCCCTTCCTCTAGAGCTGTCCCTTAAACCAAGAACAAAAAAAGAGAACACGACAGCTCAGCAGAACTAACATATAAAGTTTCATATAATGCCCCCACTCATAGTTACACACCTCTACACAGAAGTGTATACGTTTTCTTGGGTCCCTAGCTTGGTCCTTATCATTCCCCAGCTTTCAGATTCAATTGTTTTGTGATGGTTCTTTCCATTCACATCCTTGTAGACATGTATATATATATATGGAGAGAGAGAGAGAGTTCTCCTGGTCCTATTTGCTTCACTTTGCATCAGTCTAAATAAGTAAATAAGTCTTCCCATGACTGCCAAGTTCTACATCTCTGAGCTCATTTCCACATAATCAGCCCCACCTAGTGGTCCAGCATCTTGACTGGCTCAGCTTGAGTTAGACATCCCACCCTATTCTATAACCTGAAGGGGGCCTGTTCTAAGGCCTCTGGATTCTCAGCCCTTTAGTCCTCTTGAGATCCCTGCCCCAGTAGGACCTTGAGACCCTACTAGATGAATACACAGTTTTATGAGAGAGAAAAGTTGAGGTGGGAGGGGTCATTGTGTCTTCCATTGACCTCCGTTGACCACTATTGCCTCCTCTTCCACTCTGACTCTTACGTCCAGCTCTACAATGAGGAGATTCTAGACCTGTTTGATAGTACACGAGATCCTGACTCCCGCCACCGAAAATCCAACATCAAGATCCATGAAGATGCCAATGGGGGCATCTACACCACAGGTGTCACCTCCCGTCTCATCAGTTCCCAGGAAGAGGTGAGAGTTTACTAAGGAGAGGGAGCTCACTAGCACAATGGATGGAGCACTGGGTCTGTGTCAGAATGATTTGAGTTCATATCTAGCCTTGGATACTTACTGGCTATGTTGCCCTGGGCAAATCATTTAATCTATCTGGCTATATGACCCTGGGCAAATCATTTAATCTGTCTGCCTCAGTTTCCTCATCTGTAAAATGGGGGTAATAATAGCACCTACTTCCCAGGTTGTTGTGAGAACCAAATGAGATAATATTTGTAAAGTATTCTGCAAACCTTGAAGCCCACATAAATGCTAGCTGTTTTTATTAGCTGCTAGAAGGGAGTGAGATACAAGGCATCAGTGCTCCTGGGGATGTCTGATTGGCATAAGAATAGAAATACAGGGGGCATTATACAAAGCGTCTCTGCTTGTGGACAGTTTGCATCTCCTTTAGAGAAGTCGCTCCCTGGAAGGGCCCCCTACTGCCCTGTGCAGCCTGTCCCATCTCTCTGCAGCTGATCCAGTGTTTGAAGCAAGGGGCTCTGTCCCGGACCACAGCCAGCACGCAAATGAACGTGCAGAGCTCCCGCTCTCATGCCATCTTCACCATCCACCTGTGCCAGATGCGCGTCTGTGCCCGGCCTGACCTGGTGAGCAGCCTCAAGAGAGGCAGAAGGAGTAGCTGAGGGGACTAGCTGTGGGGAGAACCAGTTCTGGTGCTTCTAAAAGTCCCAGGGAAAGCATGCTGGATTTGGAGTCAGGAGACCTGTGTTCTAATTCTGACTCTGCCCTTTACTATCTTTGTGACCTTGGGCAAATCATTTAACTTTGCTGAACTCGAATTTCCTCCTTTGTAAAGGAAGTTGGACAAAATGATCTCTGGGGCCTCTTATTACTCCAAATCTATGACCATACGGCCTTATTGACCACGTGCCCCACTTTTGTGTTTTGTCCTTTGTCCCTCTGGACTTGCTAAGTCCAGACATCCCAGGGAGCCTCGGCCTATGGTGGGTGGAGGTGGGGGGATTGGGTTTTCAGCAATGCTCACTTTTCCCATAGGTAAATGGTGAGGTTCCTGGCCTTCCCGATGGTGCTGCCCCCACAAACGAGTATGAGACGCTCACAGCCAAGTTTCATTTCGTTGATCTAGCAGGCTCCGAACGGCTGAAACGGACGGGGGCCACGGGCGAGAGGGCCAAAGAGGGCATCTCTATCAACTGTGGCCTGGTATGGAAGCAAAGAGGCTCTTCCTGTCACCTAGAGCAGGATCTGAACCTTGAATTCCTCCCCTCACGCCATGTTTCTGTCTGTGTTCCACTTCTCCTGTGTCCATTTCTGTGTGGTCCTTTTCTCTGACTTTGACTTTATTAATAGAGTAACGACGCCTAGCCTGTCCCCCAGTCTTTGAGCTTGGGGGTAGCCGAGGACAGTGAAGATGGTGGAAATTCTAGGGAACACGGCTCCATGGGGTACCTTGCTGAAGGCCAGGGTCTCTCTCTTGCAGCTGGCCTTGGGTAATGTGATCAGTGCCCTGGGAGACCAGAGTAAGAAGGTGGTACATGTGCCATACCGGGACTCCAAGCTCACCCGGCTCCTGCAGGACTCCCTCGGGGGTAACAGGTAACCAGAGCAATCACTTTTGGGGAGAGGGTTACTGTGCCCACTAACTGCCAGCTCAGACTAGTCATTTATTTTGACCAAGTGTCCATTTTCCCATGCATATTACCATCATCATCATCATTATTACCTATTAGTAATTATAAATTAGTAATTATAGCTAACATTGATATAGTGCTTTAAGATTTAGAAAGCACTTTACATATATATCATCACATTTGGGCGTCACAACAACCCTGTGAGGTAGGTGCTATTATCATTCCCATTTAACAGAATAGCTAACTGAGGCACTGGGAGATTCAATGACTGTGCCCAGGCTTATGCAGCTAGTACCTGTCTGAAGCAGGATTCAAACTCACTTCTTCCTGACCTTAAGTCCATTGTTCTATTTCCCACACTGCTAAGCTGCCTCATTGTGTGTGTACAATGGAGAGAATAGATCCTTTCCCTTTTTTAGGTCACAGGGAGTTTGTAAAGCTAAAACAAGACATTAAGACTGGAAATATAAGGTCTTACTATCATTTATTTACTAAACTAATTTCTAAAAAACAACAAGCCAAAACAGCGCTGACCCTATTAGCTAAGTAAATTGTAATCATCTACTGTTGGGACAGAAATCTCATGGTCATCTCATCTTGGAGTTTGGGCCAGGTGGCCCTAAGGTGGCATTGGGAGAGGACAGGACTTAGCTCCAATGTGATGTTTCTTTTGGGGATATCTGTCTCTGCCCCATCTGTTCTCCATCCCTACCAGCCAGACAATTATGATTGCTTGTGTGAGCCCTTCAGACCGGGACTTTATGGAGACCCTGAACACCCTCAAGTATGCCAACCGGGCCCGCAACATCAAGAACAAGGTGGTTGTGAACCAAGATAAGACCAGCCAGCAGATCAGTGCCCTTCGGGCTGAGATTGCCCGCCTGCAAATGGAGCTGATGGAGTACAAGGCGGTGAGTGAGGGGGTACTCTTTGCCTAGAGAGTAGAATGAGCCAGCTTCTCTAAACTGGGCCCTGAGCATTTAGCTTAGCAGTGTCCATAACTAGCTACTCAGGCTGTATCATCCTGCTGTCTGGGGTTCTGCCTTCATCCCAAGGAGTGGTCTGCCGGGGACCAGTTTCACCCTCTGACTTTTCAGCTTCCTCTTCACTTTTCTTTTCCTTTATTCATCAAATATTTATTGTATGCCTATTGTGTGAAAGCAAGTCACAATGTTGGAGTAGGGCAGTACCCAAAGATTAACAACACGTGGCCTCTGCCCCCGAGGAGCTTACAGTATTGTAGGAGATATAACATACGCATAAAAGCCACCCCAGTCTATGTGACCATTGCTCTGAGTATACCATGCTGTAGGAGTCCAAAAGCCAGAGAGGCCCTTAGGATTGGGGCAGGCCAGAAGGTTACATATAGAAGGCAGAATTAGAGTGGGTGTTAAAAGATGGGGCAGCTAGGTGGCACAGTGGATAGAGCACAGGCCCTGAAGTCAAGAGGACCTGAGTTC